CAGAAATCCCTCCAGATTTAAGTGTTAAAATTTCGGAATTTCAAAATCACATGGCCCTACTGCAGCCATGCGACATCATGTTTTTTCATAATCAGCAATAGAACACAAATTGTCTACTATTGCCTTTTCAGCAGATCTGAGTGTTGGGGTAAAATCTCAAATAATAATGGTGGGTCTGGTGTCAAAATATTGAATGTGATCAAAGTAGAGAGAGTAATGTGGAAATAATCTGCCCCACAGGTACAGGGAGGGTATGGGATGGGAGTATACTGGGGTTTTTGGTGGTGGAGAATGGGCACTGGTGAAGGTACGGGTGTTTCATTGTATGACCAAGACTTAGACCCGAAAACTTTGTAACTGCTCTCATGATGATTCAATAAATAAAATTATAAAATTGAGGTGGAGTTCATGCACAATCCAGTCAACTAATCAGTGGCTGAATGAATAAATAGCAGTACTCCTACATAAAAAAATTGTTTAGGTCACAAAGTTTAAAGAAGTGCAGAAGACATTAAATAATCAAATGCAAAGTGGGGAGAGAGAAGGGAAGCTGGGCTTGGAGTCAATAGCACTTGCCTTACATCCTAGTGACCCCAGCTCTAGTTCCTGTGAGAACTGTCAGGTCACCAGGTTCACTGTTAGCTGTGGCCCAAAATGGGGAAGAAAGAAGTGAAAGGCATTAAGTTTATTAATTTAGACTATATTTACAGAATTCCAGGATTTGAAAACAGGCCTGGAGCAATAGGACAACAGGGAGGGCATTTGCCTTTCATGCAGCTGACCTGGGTTTGATCCCTAGCATCCCATATAGTTCCCTGAGCCCCACCAGGAGTAATTCCTGGATGCAGAGTCAGGAGAGAGCCCTGAGCATCACCAGGTGTCACCCTCCCCCCAAAAAAATCTCTCAACTAGAAAGAAATGGAAGGAGAAAGGCCAATTGAGAGCCATAGATCAAAGGGCTGGTCTCCAGACTCCGCCGTGAGCCTGAGCACATGGCCCAAGTCTTGTTGACCACAAGCCAGACCTCTGCAGGATGTGGGGCTGCTCCATCAACCACTGGGCTGTGAGGAACTCTCAGAGGCTCTGCGCACCAACAAGAACCTCTGGCTGGATGTGGGTTGAAACGCCTGAGGTATCAGGGGGTCGAGATGCTGTGTGACTCCTGAGCCACCACAACTGCACCCTGCGGAGACTTGAGTAAGTGCCGGACGTTCATGGGCCCACTCCAGGTGGCCAGGTAGGGGCCGATCGGGGACCCCCAGGTGGGGGGTGGCATTGCTAACATTTCAGCTCTCTGCCACTTGAGTCTGGCCAAGAGACAGACCGGTCTCCCCACGGCGCCTTCTGTGGGCTTCTGCGGGTAAGATGTGTCAGTGAGTGATCCCAAAACTTGGACTGAAGCCCATAGTCAGGGGGCTTCTGGAGCAGAGGAGCGGGTGGGTGCCACCCTGGCACTGCCTCTGCCCTGCGGTGCTTCTGGGAGGAGCAAGAGCTGGGTATAGGGCACCCCCATCTGCCTCAGGGTCAAGATGTGGTTGTGAGTCCGTGAATCAGCCCAGCCCCGGCTGTCTCCTTCACGCTCTGTGCGGACACTGACCTTGTTGACATCAGCCCCATTCCAGTCCCTGGGCCCTGCCAGGGGTCAGCCCTGAACACTGCCCGAAAGATGAAGAAATCCAAAGCTTTTTGGACTGACTTGGTTCCAAGGAGCTTGTCATTCTGCATCAGCCGAGAAGTGGGTGGTCCAAGGAAGTTGGAAGCATTTCCTAGTTGGGGGGGAGGGGGTTCCCATTACGTAAATGGGCACGTGGCCTGACATATGGGGTTGGAGACACAGGAAGGAAATCATCTGGGAGGGTGGTGAAACGCTGGTTTGTGGGGAGGGAGGTCAGCTGAGTCTCCGGTCTGCTCAACTTCCCCCAGCACAGCCCACACCCCCAACCTCACTGGGGGTCACTGGGACTGCAGACTGGACCTGGCTCACTTAATCTCCGATCCACTCAAGACTGGAGCTGCCCTGGGCAACGTGGGGCTCCATGGGGACAGCACGCTGAGGCGAGCAGGCACCCAAGCGTCCCCAGGAGCCTCCTGGAGCCAACCCAGTCACTTCCCCTCTGTGTCCCCCAGGCTGGACGTGGACATGGACGATCCCCAAGTCTGGGAGTTGCTGACTCTCCCCCAAATCAGCAACCCAGAGCTGGCAGTGGAGAAGGATGACGGCAGCCTGGGCGGGGCCCAGCCGTCAGTACAGTTCTTCACTCCCCCCCACCCCACCCCTGTCCTTTCTCCAGCCCCTGTCCTGTCCCCCAAGCCCGCTGGGAAGCCACACCGGTGCACAAACTCCTGCCTGGGTTGTCCCTCTGACCAGCAGGTTGAACGTGACTCGGCACAGGGGAAATGTCAGCTATTGGCAGAAGGAGAGAATAAAGACAGACACACGCACAGGGGAGGGTGTACTTGGTCTCTGATCGAGCTTTGAGAAGGGTTTTGTGGAGGCGTGGAAGCCAATGGGGAGAGGGGCTGCGTCCCGAGGCTTCAGTCAGTCCAGCCAGAATGCCAAACCAGCCACACGATTCTCTCTCCCTGTCTTTCTCTCTCCCTCTTTCCTCTCTTCTCTCTCCTTTATCCCTCCCTTCTCTCTCCCTCTTTTTCTCTATTCTCCTTCTCTCTCCCATTCTCCCTCTTTCCCTCTCTCCCTCATTCTCTCTCTCTCCCTCATTCTCTCTTGTCTCTCTCTCCCCGCCCCCAACCCCCTCCCCATTCCCAGCAGCAATGAAGCCTCATTTTTTACCCTAGATAATCACGGACCCCCAGTAGCCCCTCTCTGAGGGTACTAAGTTTCAGCTATCCAAGGGAGCTGACCCCACCTTTGCACAACCCGGTCCCCCACGTCCTGCCCCAAGTGCCCTGGAAGGAGTTGGGTGTGGGCCAACAAGCTTAAAGGAGAATCTCCAGCACCAAGACCCTCTCCCCATGAGAAAGGCAGGGGTATCCGTTGCCCTGAACCCCAATCCCAGTTCAAGATCCTGGGGATCATGTCCAGCCCTCATTCCCACTCTAACCCAGGGCTCCCCACCCCGGGATCTAGCCGGGAAGTCCCCAGGAATCACCAGCAAGGCTGAGCTCAGGAGCGCTGGGGAACCTGAAGTGGGGCCAGGCTGGGCTGTAGGCAGAGTCAGGCAGGAGACCTCACCCGCGGCTCCCTGGCAGGCAGAGTCCTGCCCCTGGGCCTCGGCGTCGGGCTTCTCCTCTGTTCATCCTAGGAGCCAGGACTCCGGCCAAGGCAGCATAGGAAGCATAGAGTTCATCATGCACTGCACTGCCAGTGCTGGGACCAGACCCGTCTCCCGCGGGTCTGCACTGAGGCACAGTCCTGCCTCCCTGTGTTTGCTTTCTTAAAATAAATATTTGTTTTCAGAGATATGGTTGGTGTGCACAAAAATCTCTTTTTTAAAATACATCTGTTTTGATTATTACTTTGGTTTTAGGGCCACGTCAGCGATGGTCAGAAGTTACTACTGGCTCTGAGGTCAGGGGTCACTCCCGGTGGGCTCGGGGACCATGTATGGCACCAGGAATCCAACACAGGTCAGCAGCTTGCAAGGCAAGCACTCTACCCACAGTGCTATCGCTCTGGCCAAAAATCTATATATTTAATATATATTGAGGGGCTAGAGTTATAGTATATAGTACAGTAGATAGGGCATTTGCCTTGAACATGGCTGACCCAGATTCAATCCCTGATATCCCATATGGTCTCCCAAGCACCACCAGAAGTAATTCCTGAGTGCAGAGACAGGAGTAAACCCTGAGCATCGCCACGTATGGCCTGAAAACCAAAAGCAACAACAAAAATAATTGTATCTTGCTAGGTCTGAGGAATATTCACTCAGAAGCCGTAGCCATAAACTGGGTCCGGAGCTATAGGACAGTGTAGAGGGCACTTGCCTTGCTCATGGCAGACCTGGTTTCAATCCCCCACATCCTGAGCACCACCACAAGCAATCCCTGAATGCAGAGCCCGGAGTAATCTCTGAGCATCACAGGGGGTGGCCTAACAGCCAACGGGAAAAACACCATGGCCATGAGCAATTCCATAAGCATCTTCATTTTCTCTGTGTGAACAGAGCGTTGAGGTGAGAGTCACTCTCACACTCCGCGTGCTGTGCAACACAGACCTCACACCCTGTGCTCGCACAGCCCAGGGCTTGGAAACTCCATGTTTTCTCATATCTTTAAGGTCTTTTTTTTTATCCTCTTGATAACCTTGTTCCCAGGTACCTGCCCACGCACAACTCCAGTCCCCGCACTCTGCCCCATGCTGCCGTCCCGAGTCCCTGGGAAGCAGATTCTGCTTCTAAGAGTCAAACTCATTCATTTATTTTGGTTTTGGGGTCACATCTGCCAATTCTCATGGCTCACTTCAGGGGTGTTTGGGGATGGAACCCCAGTCTCGCTCGTGAGGCAGCGCCTGGTGCCTCCTCTGGGCCTGTCTAAACAGCTTTGATTCCTGGTACGGATAATGTCTGGGGGCGACAGGACAGTGGGGAGGACGCTGGACTGGCACGCGTCATGCCCAGATTGGGTCCCTGCCATCCCACAGGAGTGCTCCTGAGTGTAGAGTAAGGAGTAAGTCTGACCACTGCTGGGTGTGACCCAAAATCAAAACGAAACGAAAAGGTGCGCCTGGTTTCCTTAGAGTGGAATCACAGTGGAGGTGTGTCTGGTCCGTGGCTTCGGCTTGTCTGGGGTCTGCCCCGTTGCTGCTCAGGGGCCGTAGAAGGTACTGGGCTGAAAGCAGGTCAGCTACAGGGAAGGCAATTGCCCTCACCTTTCCTCTCAGGCCCAAAGGCAGGATTTCTCTTCCTGCTGGGCCACTGGCCACCACGTCCACCGCGTTGTGCAGGGAGGTGGGGGAGCGCCCCCCAGCTCCCGGGCTGCGGGGTCTGAGAACTCCCTGCCAGTCACCGGGACTGGGCTCTGGGCATCCCGGTTCCGCCCTACACCCCAGAAGTGCCTTTCGGAAGATCACACATGCCCGTGCCTGTCACAGCAGAAGCTCCCGTGTCGCCATCTGTCATCCTCGCTCCTGAGACTGTGGCGGCCCCGCCGCGGCCGTGCGGGAGCTGGGGCAGTGGCCTGCGCAGGGCCCTGGCCAGCAGCGCTGTCCTCCGGCTGTGCCAGTCCTCCAGCAGGACCCCGCCCAGCAGAACCAGGGCCACGCCCCCCAGGCACACCCGGACCACGTTGCCTGTGGAGTAGTGCTGCAGGGGGACGCCTGCAGGGGGCGCCAGGTGAGGTGAGGCGCTCCAGCCCTCCCAGAATCTGAACGCTGGCCCGGCCCCTCCTGACCTCACCCTGCTCCCCGCCCATCGGTGGTGGGGGACGGGGACGGGACGGGACGGGGGTGGGTGGGGTTGGATGAGGGAGACTAGGAAGGGACGGAGGTAGGGGCAGGATGGGGAAGCGGGCTCAGACACATCGAGAAACCTGGTCTCCTGTCCCGACTGGGGCCCGGTGCGGAGCCCTGCACCACCCTCCTGTCGCCCTGCACCCACAGGCTCTGTGGGAGACGAAGAAATGGAGAGCCCCTGCGGGGACAGCTACTCACCTGCAGGTGCAGTGGGGGTTCCTTTGGGGGTCTCCGGGGTCTTCCTGGTAGACTCTGGAAATCACAAAGGAGAGTCAGAACCCTCCCGTGCCCTGCTTCTGCGGCCGCCCCCAGGTACACCTTCGGGCCAACTTCTATGACTGTAAGAACCTTACAGCAGGCATCGGGCCACCGGCTTGGGACCCCACACCCCTCCCCTACACGGGGGCTCTGGCAGTGGCAGCATCTTTGAGCCGGTATCCCACCTGACCCAGAGAAAGAGCCAAGGGCCGTGATCACAGAAAACCAGTAACAATCATAATGACACTGGGTGACATTACCTAGAATGCTCCTCGGGCTCCAAACTCAGACTCCCCCATCACCTCCTTAGTCCCCAAACCCGCCCCTTCCCCACCCCGCCCTCCCCCCACTCCCCAGAGAGCTGGGTGATTTCCGTGAAGCAGGCTAGAATCTGCCACCCAATTATTTTTTCCTTTAACTGAGTAATATCCCGTTGTGTATATACTATAGCAATTTGCCGCCACCAGCAGGGCCATGGCAGCCTAAGGCAGGGACAGATACAGGCTGAAATCCTACATGGGCAATGGGGAGGGCACTTGCCTCGCATGTGGTGGACCTAGGTTCAATCCCCAGCATCCCACATAGTCTCTGAACTCACTAGGAGTGATTCCTGAGTGCAGAGCTAGGAGTCAGCCCTGAGTAAAACCGGTGTAGCCAAATAGCAATCATACGCACGCAGGGCAGAAAGAGACAGGAAGGGCCTCACCAACAGACAACAGCGCCCATCAGAACAGCTCACCCAGGGTGCGGGCAGGTGGCAGGCAGGGCCCAGCGGAAGTGGGGGTGTCTGAGCCTCACTGTCAGGACCCCCATCCAGAGAGAGCTGACCATCACACTCACCACTTGAGGAGACTTTGTTCAAGACGGAGAAGTTCTGCGCCCTGATGATCTCTGGGAGTTCTAAGCAGGAGGAGAGGCATATGGGTGCTGGGGTTCTACCGGGGGGCTACCTCACTGCGAAGGGCTGAGCCCTGAAGCCCCCTCTCCCACACTGTCCCCTGTACCCACGCCTGCCTTCGACCCACTTAGAGCTCTCCCTCCTGCCCTGATTTTTGTCCTGTTGTTTTTGGTTTCTGGCTCAAGGGTCCTGGTGGTGCTTGGGGGACTCTGCAGAGCCAGAAACTGAACTAGGTCATTTGGGTTGGCCACATGCAAGGCAAGTGTCTTCACCCTTTCACACAAGCTTTTTTTTTCTTTTTGGGTCATACCTGACAATGCTCAGGGGTTACTCCTGACTCTACACTCAGGAATTACTCCCGGTGGTGCTCAGGGGAACATAGAGGATGCCAGAGATCAAACTTGCATCAGGTGCATGCAAGGCAAATGCCCTCCCTGGTATACTATTGCTCCGGACCCTTTTTTAAAATAATAATTTAAAAAAACATTTTTATGTCCTCAAAGGCTTCAATTTCAATTTTTAACTTTTACAGTCCACACCTGGCAGAACTCGGGGACTCACACGTGGTACAAGAGGCTGAACCCAGCCCAGCCACATGCAAGGCCAGCACATGTCCCCACCCCCACCCCCCCCATCCCCCGCCAGCTGACCTATCGCTCAGGCCCTGCACACCAGTACTTTGACTATAATGATAATGCTGCCGGGGACATGCGGTGCATTTTTGTGAGAACTAATTTTTTCTCTTCTGTGTATGTGTGTTTGGGTCACACCCAGCAGTACTCAGGGGTTACTTGTGGCTCTGCGCTCAGGAATCACTCCTGGAGGTATTTGAGGGACCCTATGGGATGCCAGAGATGGAACCTGGGTCACCCATGTGCAGGACAAGTGCCCTCCCTGCTGTGCTCTCTCCCTGACCCCCAAGAACCAATATGCTTAGATGCACTTTGGTGATCCTTTCTCGCTGTAACACACACACACACACACACACACACACACACACACCGGCTAAGTGGCACCAAGCTCTCTCCTGTGGTGGCTTTCCATGGGCAGGTATGCGAGCGAGAGAGGCTGGACCTGAGAGACCCAGAGGGAAAGGAGAAAGGTGGGTGGGGTCTGAGGCACCTGGAGACACAGGACTCACCTGAGGCCGGGGCTGGTGCCGGGGAAGGGACGTTTATGGGCTGCTGGCTGGTGATCCCAGAGATCCCTGAAAGGCAGAGGGGGCATTCTGTGCTGTGGGCTGGGGGTCTCAGCCATCACCAAGCCTCCCCGCCACCTGCCCCTGGGAGAGCCGGCTCAGAGGGCACTGGCCAGTGGTACCACGAAAAGGGACCAGCATGTGAGTCATGGTGCCCTCAAAGACCCACCCTCTGCCCCACCAAGTGGGGGAACACCATCACCCTAAAAAGGCAGTGTCAGGGTGGGATGGGAAGGGGCCGAGCTGGTCCCAGGACTCCCAGGCCACACCCACCACACTCTATCCCCCGGGGCCTGGGCCCCTCCTGCACCCAATTCCCCCAACCACACAGGCTGAGTGCAGCAGCTGAGCGGACGCTAAGGACCTGTGACCACGAGATGCAGGGGGTTGCTGGGGGCCGACCACAGGTATGGTGATGAGCTGGAGAAGCTGTAGCAGCGGTAGACGCCGCCGTGCAGGGCCCGCACCGCCAGCAGCGGGAAGCTGGCATGGTACCAGCGCTCCAGCTTCTTCACGGGACCTGCATCCCCCTCCTTGTACAGGGCGAACTGGTCGAAGCCGTGCTTGGCCTGGCACTGCAGCGTCACATTGCCGCCCTGTGGCACAGTGGCTCCGGGTAGGGCTAAGAGGGCTGGCTTGGCATACACACCTGGAGGACAGGCCTGGGGTCAGGCCCCGAGATCAGGGCCCATCTGCAGCAAGAACCCCCTTTCCCCCTTCAGCCTGAACACGCAACCCATGGCCAGCCCTGCTATGGCTCAGAAGGCTCGAGTACTGGCGCCATGTCTGTGCATGTTTGGTGTTTCGGGTCACACCCGGCGATACTCAGGGCTTGCTCCTGGCTCTGCACTCAGGCATCACTCCTGGAAGGCTGGGAAATCATACAGATGACAGGGGTCGAACTTGGTTGGCATGTGCAAGGCAAAAGCCCTCCCCGCTATACTATTGCTCTGGCCCTTTTACTTATTTTTTTTAATAAGCCATTTTCATGTTCTCAGAGGCTTCAATTTCAATTTTTAGCTTTTACAGCCCACACCTGGCAGAACTCAGGGGCTGAACCCAGCCCAGGCACGTGCAAGGCCAGCCCCCACTGCTGTCCCATCGCTCAGGCCCTGCACACCAGTATTTTGACTTTGATGAATAATGCTGCCAGGGACGTGCAGGTAGTGCATTTTTGTAAGAACATATTTTTTTCCTCCTCTCTCTGTGTTTGGGCCACACCCCGCAGTGCTCTGGTTACTCAATGGCTCTGCGCTCAGGAATCACTCCTGGAAGTGCTCAGGGGACCCTATGGGGTGCCAGGGATCCGACCCAGGTTGGCCACGTGGCCAGCTCAGCAACTTCCCAGCTGTACTATCATTCAGCCCCTTCTCACTTTCTCAAGCCCAGAGTAGAGGTCGGTATGACCTGGGGTCACCCCCACGTCCCCATGTTACCAGTAGCCACCAGCTCCAGCTGGTCACTGGGGGGTGACCAGTGGGTCCCGTTCTGATAGGAGCAGCGGTAGCGGCCGGCCACCCCCAGTGTCATGGCAGAGATGTTCAGGATCGTCTGGTCCCTGTAGGTGGCCGAGCCCAGCTTCTCCAGGCGATACACGTCCATGTCCGGGGGTGCCTGGCAACGGAGAGTCACCGGCTTCTTCAGGGGGACCAGGGGGCTTGGCAGGGCCCTAAGGATGGGCTTCGGGAGAGAACCTGGAAGGGAAGTGTAGTCTGGAGCCGCCAACAGGGACACCTGGCCCACCCGCCTGCTTGCCCCCTCCCCAGGAGGGCAGTCCAGGGTGCACTCACCCTTCTGAGCCGACCACACCTGCCCCAGACACAACCCTGCAGGAAGAGGAAGGACCCAGCGCTGGGCGCCCCCACCACGCATGCCGCATGGGGGTGGGGGGATAAGGCGCGTGTGCAAGGCACTCTTTCTCCATTTTGGATGGAGGGGGGGCTTTGGGGAGGGGCCCATTTGCTTGTTTGGAAAGACAGACACACCCATGAAGGCATAGGCAGATGTCGGAGAGGGAGTCTGGGGGCCGCGTGTGGCCAGATCTGGCTGGAGCCCTGTAGCCAGGTGCCCCCGGCAAGCGGGCAAGCGGCAGCCAGGACCTGGGAAGGTGGGGAGTGGGATTCCTCTAGGGTGGTGAGTGTTTTGGAAGTAGATGGAGGTACCTAGAGGCACAGAGTCTTAGTAACAAATTGTATGTTCAGTATATTATTTAACCACAATTCCTTTCGGCCCCATTCAGCAGCATTTAGGGAGCACTCCTGGACCTGTACTCAGGGATCACTTCTGGCTCTGCATTTGGAGCTCACTCCTGCTCTGTGCTCAGGGAACACTCCTGGCTCTGTGCTCAGGGAACACTCCTGCTCTGTGCTCAAGAAACACTCCTAGTTCTGTGCTCAGGGATCACTCTTGGCTCTGTGCTCGGGGTTCACTCCTGCTCTGTGCTCAGGGAACACTCCTGGATCCGTGCTCAGGGCTCACTCCTGCTCTGCACTCAGGGAACACTCCTGGCTCTGTGCTCGGGGAACCCTATGTGGTGCTGCGGACCAAGCCCAGTGCGGCACATGCAAGGCTGGTGCCCTCCCTGTTGTCCTCATCTTCCCTCCAGCCTTGATGCTCACATGGTTGCAAACCCTGATATGGCACCTCACACAAGGGATTTGTTCCCTCCCCCTCACTGTGGTCATCCATGGTTGCCCACAACCTACAGCCACGGTGCATGAGTGGCCAAAAGGGAGGCGCAGGTGGCCCCTCCCATACCACATAGCCGATAACCCGCCTTCTTCCTTCCGGGGTCCTGGGAGCATCTGCCCCTTAGTGATAAAGTTCTGCTGCTGAAAGAAGGAAATGACAGGGAGTGACGTGTGGGTTCCCACTGGGGGCCAGACATCTGAGTGGACGGGGCAGGAAGGATATGTAGCCGGTGCACCTGGACACTGGGAGCACGGACAGCAGACGGAGCCAGTGACCACAGCCCTGAGTGCAGCATGCGGCAGCCTTCTCAGGGGCGGACCAGAGTCACGGCTCATCCACGCCCATGGCCACCCCCAGGCCCTCACCCTTCCCTGGCCGCCCCTCCCTCCTGCCCCATGCAGCCCCCCACTGACTCGGGGAGTATTTGAGCCAGCTGAGAAGATGCTTCCCTATGCTGTGGGAGTTCTGGCCCAGTGCCCTGGGGTTCCACTGGTATCGGAGCCTGCCCCAGTTGGCCTCTCCCATGTCGGTAGCCAGCCCCTGTCTAGCCCCGACGTTCACATGCAGTCCCACATACATGCCTTCCTCCCAGGGCGTGGTGCATGCAGACATGCAGGGCAGTGCCCTTCCTGCAGTGCTATGAGGATTTTCACCAGTTTGATCTGAGTAGGAACTTGGGGTGTCTCAGAGCAGGGATGCAGGGGCCAGAGCAATGGCACAGTGGGGAGGGCACTGGCGCCACATGCGACTGACCTGGGTCCAATCCCCAGCACCCCCGAGGGTTCCCTGAGCCCCACTAGGAGGGAGCCCTGAGCACAGAGCCAGGAGTCTGCCCTAAGCACCGCTGGGGGCAGGCTCCCAAAAAAACAGTGGCACAGAGGCTAGAAACTTGTCCAAGGGGTGAGGCATATGCAACCCCAGTGGGGTTCCTGGCGCCCCTTGGTCCCTCCACTGTCTTAAGACAAACCACCCACGCAAACTGTCAGGAGCCTCGGCTCTCCTGAGCGCTGCCAGGGAGTTGTCATGAGCACCCCAAAAGCCAGGTGGTGCCATGGCAATGCTGCAGGCAGTGCTGGGACCCCCCCCAAGACCACTCAGAGTCAAGCCCTCAAAGACCCCAGTCCTGCCCATTCCCGACCCAGTGGGTTCCCCTATCCGGTTTCATCATGGCTACATTGTTCCCCAAAGCCCAGCCTAGACTCTGCGCCCTCCAAAGCCCAGCCTGGGACTCTGTACCCCCAAAGCCTAGCCTGGGACCTTCACCCAAAAGCCCAGCCGGGGACTCTGTACCTCCAAAGTTCAGCCTACGGCCCTTCACCACCCCCCAAGCCCAGCCTGGAACTCTGCACCCCCAAAGCCCAGCCTGGGCCCTTCACCCCCATGCAACCATCCCCAAGGACTCACCAAGGCAGAAGAGGGTAGCGGGGGGCAAGGCCATGGCTCCTCTGCCCGCACTGGGACCTGAGTCCAGAGGAAGGGGTACTGAAGAGAGCTGGATGCGGGGGAGTGGAAAGCTCCCTGCCCCCTTGCCCGCAGTGGTCACCCGCCAGCCACCAGCCCCCTTATCTCCTGCGACCAGCCCGTCCGTGCACAGACCGTCTAACTGGCTGCCCCTGAGGCTCTGTCTGTGTCCCCCAGGTCTCCAAACCTTCCCAGGTCCCCTGGAGGCATACGCAGGAACCACAAAGAGCCCCAGCCGTGGGCAGAGGCCCACCCCAGCACCTGCTCTCCCCTTGCCCACAGCAAGGGTCCACTGACATCTTGAGGTCACTGGTTGCAGGGGTAGGGGGTCTTGGCGCAAACGTGCGGGAAAGCAGCCTACCAAGCCCACACGTCCCCTCAGGATCCAGACAGAAGGGGCAAGGGTGGACTACGCGGAGAGGCCAGGGTTAGTTTGACCCCAACACCACATAAGCTGCAACAGCAACACCAGCTGTAGCCCCCAAACCTCAAACCTTGTTTTGGGGGGCCACACCCAGCAGTGCTAAGGGCTTACTCCTGGCACTGCACTCAGGAATCACTTCTGGCAGGGCTTAGGAATGCGGGGGATAGAACCTCGTATAGCCGTACAGCCACGTGCAAGGCAAACACCCTCCCCATTGTGCTATTGCTCCAGCCACCAAAAAAAAGTTATTTTAAATAGGTTCCTGAGTTGGAGACTGCTCAGTGATACAGGAGACTGGGGTTCAAACTGGGCATCACCAGCAAGCACAGAGTCTTTTTATTTTTTTAATTTTTTTATTAATTCACCATGAGGTACAGTACTAAAAATTTCATGTTTGAACTTCTATCATACAGTCATCAAACACGCATCCCTTCACCAGTGCACATTTTCCACCACCAAAACCCCTAGTATCCCCCCCACACACACACTGCATTCCACACCTCCCCTTGTTTGTGTGGCAGACAATGTGCAAAATATTCTTTCTCTACTTTAGTTGCCTTCGCCATTTCAAAACCAGTCCTACCAGCCCTCATACCTGACAAAAATGCAATTGCTAGACAGTGTGTTTTGTATTGCTTATTATGGATATAATATAATGTCGCTAGACCACAGGAGCGGCCGCACACTCTAGGAATTCTAAGACTTTAATAAGTAGGGTCTGAAGAAGTTGTTGCCGCAAGTTGCTTGGGTCTGAGATTCCTTTGTGTGTCTCTGGATCGTGGCCACATGGGAGCTAAAGTAGACAGTGAGCGGGTGTGGCTTCATCTCGGCGTCCCATCGGGGTGGGGGGGAAGGAAAGCCCATTCCTCCCGTCCTGCAAGACTTGGGATTTACCATCATCGCAACTTGTACCTGGTGCTTCTTGCTGGCTTCTAGAAAATGGTGACCACTGAAGCTCTTAGAGAGCAGGCAAAGGGACAGCACCTGCCCCCATCTGGAGTGGCCCAGTGGAGAGGGCTTATTTGAAGGTCCCGGGCCATCTCTGCCACAAGTTGCTTGGGTCCAAGATTCCTTTGTGTGTCTCTCACAAGCACAGAGTCTCGAATGGCCCCGGGGTAATGCTGGGTAAGGTCCAAAAACGAAATAAAAATGTTCTCATTCAGGGGAAAAATAACCTGCCATCACCCTTTTGGCCACTGATTCAACCACACGTCTCAGCAACTGCTCCATTCTGGGCACAGCACCAGCAAGTGTGCAATTGTGGTATGAAAGCCCAGAGGTTCCATTAGACTGATAGATGAAAAGCAAATTAAAAGGCAGCCGGAGCAACAGCACAGTGGATAAGGTGTTTGCCTTGCATGTGGCTGACCCAGAATCAATCCCTGGCATCCTATATGTTCCCCTGAGCACCACCAGTGCAGAGCTAGAAGTGGCCCAAAAACAAACTTAAAATGATTAACAATGATTAGGCAAGGCTCCAGTTCCTCACAAAAAAGAATGTGTCAGATGAAAGCCTCAGAGAGGGGCCAGGAGAGGGATCCCTGGGTGACAAGGGAGGGGGTGGGCCTGGGAGTGTGGCCACGGGAATCACATGTTCAAGGCAGGGAGAAGGGGAAAAGCTTGTGCTTGTCGCACCTGTCCCCTTCCTCTTATTTCATTTGGGTTTCTGTACTACCTCTCTTCTAGGAGTGCTCCCTGAAAATACTCAGGGGCCATGTAAAGAGACGAGGAGCAGACCGAGCCTGCAGCATTCGAGGTGAACACCTTCACCCCCACCGGGACTGTCCGACTGGCCCCAGCACTGTTCCTTGCTTCGTTTGTTTCTTTGGATGGTTGGTTTGATTTGGGGGCCATATCCAATAATGCTCTGGGCTTACTCCTGGCTCTGCACTCAGGAATCACTTCTGGCTCAGAGAACCATATGGAATGCCAGGGATCAAACCCAGGTTGACTGCATGCAAAACAAACACCCTATCTACTGTACAATTGCTCCGGTCTCTTCTTTCTTTTTTTGTTTTCTTTCTTTGGGGGGCCACACCCGGCAAAGTTCAGGGGTTATTTCTGGCTCTGCACTCGGGAATCACTTCTAGCAGTGTTCGAGGGACCATATGGGATATATGCCTGTATTATCTCTTGGGCCCCATCTTTTTTTTTTTTTTTTTTTTTTTTTTTGCTTTTTGGGTCACACCCAGCGATGCACAGGGATTCCTCCTGGCTCTTCACTCAGAAATTGCTCCTGGAGGTGCTCGAGGGACCATATGGGATGCTGGGAATCCAATCCGGGTCGGCCGCGTGCAAGGCAAACGCCCTCCCCGCTGTGCTATCGCTCCAGCCCCCCATCTGTTTGATTTTAAAAACAAAATCGATGCCAGAATCTACCCAGCTAACAACCACTTGGAACTCACTTCAAAAGCAGTCGATTTGGCTATATCCAGCTGCAAGGAATTCTGGGATTGCTTACTGGGAGCCAGGCTGCAAGGAATTCTGGGATTGCTAATTGGGAGCTCAGCTACAAGAAATTCTGAGCTTGCAGATTGGCTCAAAGCAAAGTAGAATTTAGCTGCCCAAACCTAATGTTTATGCCATTGGCAAGGGATGGTGATGGGTTAGTGAAGAGGTTGTCAATCATGTCTGTCAAATGTTGAGCAACACACATGTTCCCATGGTACCTTCCTTGACTGGATCTTATACTATAAGCATGATTTAATAAGTGAGTGGGGCTTTTGAGCGGAGTCATACGGTCCTGTCCTACTGAGTGAATAGTTCAGCACTCTGGACGAGTCCATCCACGTAGGCAGCCCTCGGGCAGTCCTTTGGAGGTGGGGACACACCCAGAGTTGCTCAGGGCTGACTCCTGGCTCTGCACTCAGGGATCACTCCTGGTAGGCATGGGGGACCGTATGGGATGCTGGGGATCGAACTTAAGTTGGCATCATGCAAAACTAGCATCTACCCCGCTGTACTACCTCTCTGGTGAGAAGGCCTGGTTCCTTGCTGGCGCTGCATATGGTACCCTGAACCACCCGGAGCAACTCTGAGCAACAAAACAAAAGAATGCCCTGAGCACTGCTGGGTGTGGCAAAAAAAAAAAATGTAAGTTAAAGCATTCCTGTCTGCTTCTCCAGTCATCCTTTGACGAGCACTTGGATTACTGCCATCCTGCATGCACGAGGATGCAGATACCGCCGCCAAGAATGCAGGCACGACAAGAAGGCTCCCAGAATGCCACATGTAGGGTGACCATCTGGCAGAGCAGTTCCTCTCTTGGGTGTCTGCCGCTTTGGGTTCTGCTGCCAGCTCTATTTTTGTGGCAGTGTTTGAGAAACAGTTGGCGCCCTAGTCCTCTGTAAACAGGCCAAATTCTGCCGCCAGCTGCACGCCTAGTCATTATTGGGAGCCTATGATACAAGCGCACCCTCTGCCTCAGGGGCGGTGGAATGCAGCTTTATGGCGCAAGCGCGCCCTCTGCTGCTGGGGCGGTGGAATGCAGTTTTATAGTGAAAGCGCGCCCTCTGCTGCCAGGGCGGTAGAGTGCAGCTTTTAGACTGGGGGAGGGGGTTTTGTCTTGTTTTTCCTACACCGTGTGTGTGTGTGTGTGTGTGTGTGTGTGTCTGTGTGTGTGTAGCAAGATAGTTTGTACTGAATGAAATTTTCTTAGAACGAAATTTTCTTAGAAGTGAGGGGGTGGAGGCCAAAGCAATAGTACAGCAGGAAGGGCATTTGCCTTGCACGAGGCCTACTGGATTTGATTCCTGGCATCCCATATGGTCCCCCAGCACCACCAGGAGTTTCCTGAGCGCAGAACCAGGAGTGACCTCTGAGCACCGCAGGGTTTGGCCCCAAAAGAAAAAAAAATAGAAGTGAGCCGGGGACAGAGAACTAGGTGTTGGAGGGAGAACACAGACATGGAGAGTGATCCAAATTTCTCCCCTTTTCTCCCTCATCCCCTTCATCCTGCAGTGACCAAAAGCACCGGCCTTGGGCAGTGACGAAAGCCTCAGTGACGATGCCCTGAGCTAGCCTGTCCAAGGAGAATTCTGGGACAGAAAGGCAGGCAGAAAGTGGGCCCGGCCCGTCAGGGTACTGTCCTGCCAGCCGCTGCCCCGACCACATAGTGCTGAGCTGAGGTGGGAGTGTGCCTGCAGTTGCTGCAGCGTGCGGGGGCGGGGGCGGAACACGTGCGTGCACACAAGCACCCAACACACACACACACACACACACACGCATCCAAATTCTGGTCATGCTGGCCCTGATAAGCAGTTTGTGCACCCCTGCGGGTTGAGGTTATCGCCACGGCCTTCCAACGCCCCCCCCCCCAAAGCCACGGTGAGAGATTGTCTGATGTGTGAGTGACCCACAGTAACCCTGCAGTGGTTTCTTAGCCACAAGAAGGGAATGTGGAGGGGGGGGGGCGGGTGGGACCTGGCTCCCAGCCCAGTTGTAAACAGACAATTCTCCACAGTGAAGCCGTGGTGGGAAGTGAAAGGCAGTTATCTGGAGGTTTCATTCATGTGCAGCCAAAATCAAGTCAACAAACAAAACTAACTCCTCTCCATGAATGGTGTTGGCTGCACAGTGTGGGGGTGAGCAGAAGGGTTCCTCTGGAGGGGAGTACTAGGGGACTCTGGGGAGCAAGGGCCAGAGTCTCAATCACCTCAAATGCATTTCTCAGAACCCTTCCTGAGTGAAAGTACATGGGAGAGATAGAAGGGAGGGAGGAACAGGTGGATGGAGGGGTGAATGGGTGGGTGGGTGGGTGAGTGGATGGAGGGATGATGGAGGAAAGGATGGGTGAGTAGGTAGATGGAGGGAGGAATGATGGCTGGAGGGATGGGTGGGTAGGTGGATGGAGGGAGAGATGGGTGGATGGATGGATAAGTGGATGCATGGGTAGTTGGATGGACAATGGGTGGATGCTGAGCAGATGGGTGGGTGGAATACAGTGACAGAAATACCCGTTGTGGGGGATAAGCTGTATGGGTGCTCCCACACTGCCTGCAAGCATTCATAACTTTGCACTGGCCTCTCCTTTGGAGTGCCACTGGTTGCGCAACTTCTTGCTTTTTTATTTTTAAAGAAACCAATCCTTGTGGGGGTTGTAGATGCCAGCTTGGTTCCAACAATGCTCAGGGAGCACAGGGATGCTCAGCAGCCTGAGAACTGTGCTCTAGGGCCAGAGCAATAGTCCAGCGGGGAGGGTGTTTATCTTACATGTGGCCAACCCAGGTTTGATCTGCAGCATCCCATAGGGTCCCCCGAGCACCACCAGGAGTGATTCCTGAGTACAGAACCAGCAGCCCTGAGTATTACTGGGTATCACTGAGTGTGACCGCTCCCCCTACCCCCAAAAAAAGAACCGTGTGCTCTAGTTCAATGCCACCCCCAGCCCTGCACATTACCTGCAAACCACAGGAACCAGTGGCACACATACATGACTCAGTTTCTCTGGCTGTGGGGCCGAGGCTGTTCCTTGCCAGCTCAGACTGGCAAAGCTGACGTCCACCCAAGTTAGCTTCCATTACTGAGTAACATAAAAGACAACTGACCCTGCTGCCCACTTTGTCCCAAGTTCCTGGGCAGCCCAAGCCGAGGAGAAAACAGGGTGTCAACCCAGATGAGGATCCCAGGGGCCACACCACAAGCTGCCCCATTCAGTCAAACCATCAAACCCACCCCTGCCTCTTCCATTAGAACTCCAACCAGTTACTCTTTTAGAAGCTTGGGAGTTTTTTGTTTGAGTTTTTGATTTGGGGGCCATACCCAACAATGCTCAGGGGTTACTGCTGGCTTTGCATTCAGGAGTCATTCCTAGTGGTGCTCAAAGGACCATATGGGATGCTGGGATAGAACCTGGGTCAGAGCATGCAAGGCAAATACGTTACCCACTGTGATATCCCTCGGGTTCCAGACTTTTAAACTTTGGGCTAGCTAAGACTCCCCTCTGTCACCTTCCCCTGGTGTGAACATATCCATTGGTTCTCTGCATCACAACGCCTGAGTCTGGGCTCCCCAAAAGGACGGAAGCCCGACTGGTTCGTGTTCAGCTCACTCCACACATGCCCTTGGAAGCAAACAGAAAACCACAGATATGGGGCTGGAGTGATAATACAGTGGGGAGGGCATTTGCCTTGCATGTGGCTGACCTGGGTTCAATCCCAGCATCCCATATGGTCCTTTGAGCACCGTCAGGAGCGATTCTGAAAAGGAAGGAAGGAAGGAAGGAAGGAAGGAAGGAAGGAAGGAAGGAAGGAAGGAAGAAAGGAAGGAAGGAAGGAAGGAAGGGAGGGAGGGAGGGAAGGAGGGAGGGAGGGGAGAGAGAGAAAGAAAGAAAGAAAGAAAGAAAGAAAGAAAGAAAGAAAGAAAGAAGGAAAGAAAGAAAGAAGGAAAGAAAGAAAGAAGGAAAGTGACTGCTAGATTTATTACAAAAATCATCATCACTCTGGAAGAGCAGGTGGGAGTCCGGGCTGACATTGACACATGAATTGCAGAGCAGCTGATCCCCGGCCTTGGGTGCAGGTGGGCTTTCACTCTGCCTGTGCCAGGGGCAGTTGAGCTTCCTGTCCCCGAGGTCGGCCACAACACCTTCAGGACAAACAAGCCGCAGGGCGTATGTGGGTGCCCTCCCCTGCCAGGCACAAGTCTTCCACTGCCACTAGTGGGGTTACTCTTCTCCTTTGAAAGTCAGGGAAACTGAGGCTCTGGGAGGTCACAGGTATATCTGCCATGCTGGCCACTGGTTTCTCCTGATTGGCCCACACTGAAGGAGCTGACTCCTGTTTAGATTCCCAAAGGTGGCAGCTGACGGTCCAGCTCACAGAGAGCCTGGGGTGCATGGGCCCAGGCAGGCTCGGGCAGTGCAAATCCAGAGGCCAGAGGACTAAGAAAAGAAAAGGCCAACGCTGCCGCCTAGTGGGCATCATGAGCATGGCATGCAGTGTTCCCTGGACCACACTGCCACCTAGTGGGTACTCAAAGGATGGCAGCCAGAGTTCCTTAACCAACACCTTAGGGTATGGTCACCAGCACTACTGACTTGAGCCGCCATCTAGAGCGCACTTGGGGCATGGCAGCCAACTAAGTTACCCACACTGCCGAGATGAGCTACAGTACAGATCTGTCATGGTTGGTCTTTCTGCTCTATCCTGGAGCCTCCAGGCCCATGGCTCTCATGCTTGCTCCAGGTTATCTGGGGTGAGGCTGTGCTCTCACAGAATCCTCCAATCCCACCAAGCGGGCACTTTCAGCCCAGAGCCTCTGGGCTACCTCCTCATCCTCAGCCGTGGCAGCCGGAGACTTCTCTTTAAATCCATCAAAGTACTTTCCAGAAACGCCTTCCAGCTCCTCTGCTACAGCCAAGTAAGTGCTGGGCTGGGCTGCCAGCTGGGGACTCTTGACGAGCAGCCAAAAGATGGGTCCTACAATCAGCACACAAGGCTCAGAGCAAGGTCCCACTGAAGCCAGAAGTTTCCCTGCCCTTCCGCCCCACCCCTGACCACCACCACCACACACAGGGATAATCTCTGGGCATTTGCCCCTCTAGTCCCTCTAGCTGGAGTTCCCAGCTCTGGCACTCCCCAGCTGGATCCCTCCAGTTGCAGGGACCAGCCCCAAAACTGCCTCCCCCAGGAAACATCCCTGGCTTTTCCCTCCTCCCCATCAGCCTCGAGTCTTCCCCTCAACCGACCTTGCTTTCTACCTTCAAATCCCTCACATTTAGTCTCCATCTCCCTACATGTCCCCCTGGAGAGCCCTGACAGGCAGGGTCAAGGATCCCTAGGGAGTATGAGGCTCTGCGGATGGGGCCCGGGGGTCTTACCAAGTGTGAGGCTGGAGAAGGTGGATGTGTGCAAGCCAGTGTGTCTGCCCAGCTCCGTCCTGGCGACTCCAGGGTGCAGAGCATTCACAGTCACACCTGTGCCTGCAAAGAGGAGGTGACGAGGGCAGTGGGCAATGCCATTCCTGCACTGCCCCCTGCACTCCTGTTCTGGACTGCTCCATCTCCAGGTCCACATCTCTTCTCCACTTCCTTCTCAGTCAGCTCTGTGCAAGGCTGAGAGCTCACATTCTACCTGGAGAGACCCAGACTGTGGGGCCCCAGCCCAAGTCTAAAGCAGTGGACGGAAGGAGGGGTCTGAAAGAGGTTCCTAGGCACACAGACCCTTGCCCAGATGAAACTGAGGCCCAGGTACTCTTATCCTGTGCTCTGCAGGAGGCTGAGCTGTATCGCCAGCCTCTGGATGCCAGTAGCACCCCTCCTAGGAAAGCTGACATCTTTAAAGTCGGCGCAGAGGTAGACCAAGAACCAGCCTCATGCCCGGAGGAGGCAGAAACACAGGCCTGAGGGTGCCAGGGAGACAGCATTGGGAAACACTGGCAGAGTCAGGGGTTGGGTATTGAGGAGCGGGTTCGGCAGCTGAGGACACGGACAGTCCCCTTCCTCCTTCCCAGGAAAGAGTTCATGTCTGTCACACAGACTCACTCTGTAACCCCTTACCTCTGACCTCTCTCTCATGGAAACAAAGTTTTTGTCTGAACCACATTCTCTTGGCTGTGATTCCTTGATCCCAAACAAAAGCATGATGACTGCTGAATTGCTTCCTGAATTATGAAGCTGACACACCCCTCTCCTCCAGTGAGAGTCAAAAAACTCCTTCAAGACAACCAATTTTGATCAAACTAAATATATATATATATACATATATATATGGGGCTGGAGCAATAACAGTACAGCAAGTAGGGCGTTTGCCTTGCACATGGCCGACCCGGGTTCGATTCCCAGCATCCCATATCCCTGAGCACCGCCGCCAGGAGTAATTCCTGAGTGCAAAGCCAAAAGTAATCCCTGAGCACTGCCAGGTGTGACCCAAAAAGCAAAAAAAAAAAAAATATATATATATATATATATATGTATTAGCACACAAGACTCAACCTGCAACATGTTAGTAATCTCTTATACAAGGACTTAATGGCTCCAAGGTACAACAATCATCATCCACTATTCTCTAGGGAAAACTTTTTGAATCATTTTTAGTAGATTATTCATAACAAGCAATACAAAATTATTTAGGATCTGCCTTTGGGACAGGCTTGGGTGGTGGTGGAAAAATTCAAAATAATGGTGGTAGGGTTGGTGTTAGAATATTGAATGTAGGGGCTGGAGCAATAGCACAATGGATAGGGCATTTGTCTTGCACGCAGTCAACCCAGGTTCAATTCCCAGCATCCCATATGGTCCCCTGAGCACTGCCAGAAGTGATTCCTGAGTGCAGAGCCAGGAGGAACCCCTGGGCATCACTGGGTGTGACCCAAAAAAGAAAAAAATATATTGAATGTAATAATTATTGTGAACAACCTTATAAAAATAAAAAATATGCCAGACACAGTAACAACAAAGTCTCCAATGGAGACGTTACTGGGCCCGCTCGAGCAAAACGACGATCAACGGGAGGGCCTTTACCTTTACCTTTACCTTTTGAAAAATTTCCTCCAAGGAACTGCCAAATGGGCTGGAGTCATAGTACAACAGAGCCTTGCACAGAGCCAATACAGCTTTTATCCCCGGCATACCATATGACCTCCCAAATCTGGCAGGAGTAATTCCTGAATTCAGAGCTAGGAATAACCTCTGAGCACCACCAGGTGTGACCCAAAAAACAAAAACAAAGAAACTGCCAAATCTCCCCATGGGATGGAGGTCACCCAAGCTTGAGAACCCATGGCTGACACACAACCCAAAGGCCTATTCAGGCCCGTTTTCAAAGCTAAAATGTTGGTGTTCTAAGGGAAGCTTATTTGGAGGTGGGGACTTAAAAATATTGCTAGGTGACACATTTCCCCAGTGAAGTAACACCATTTAGAAATGGTAACAGCAGCTGGGAATCTGTCGGGAGTAAGAGTATTTTAACATCGTATCTACACCAAGTGCATAGCAGGGAACATAGTTGATTAGCTGTTTTGGGTGAGCAAAGGTTCATGCTGTGATTGGTCAGTTGATATGGCGAGCAGGGGAGCGCGCTGTGATTGGTCAGCTAATCTGGCGAACATGAGACGGAGCTGTGATTGGTCGGCTGAGAGGGGGCACGTGCTGTAATTGGTTAGCTGACCTGGCGATCGGGGGAGCGTGATGTGATTGGTCAGCTGACCTGGCAATGAGGGGAAGCGTGATGTGATTGGTCAGCTGAGCAAGGAAGCATGCTGTGATTGATTGGTTGACAGGCTGTGATGGTCAGCTGATCTGGCAAGCCGGGGAGCGTGGTGTGATTGGTTATGCCTGAAGTCTGCTTCAGGCCCAAGAAGGGAGCATGATGCTACCTTTCTTGCACATTGCCTGTTCGGTCCTGGAGCCCGCCCTGGCCCCTCATCCTTCCAGAGCCACGGGGGCTGTGGCCTGGCACTGGCACCCACACGCACCTTGCAGCCGCCGGCTGAGCTCCTTGGTGAAAAGGACAACGGCCAGCTTACTCTGGCAATAAGCTGCTTTGGTGTCAAACTTCCTCTGCTGCCAGTTCAGGTCCTCAAAGTCTATGTGCCCGGCAATATGGGCCAGCGATGAGAGGTTGATGATGCGCGATGGGGCTGATGCTTTGAGCTTGTCCAGAAGGAGATTTGTCAACAGAAAGGGACCTAGGCGGAAAATGACGAAAGGGTCCCGTCTACCATACTATTCCTATGAGTAAGTTCTCTGTGTCTTCTGCCGACAGCTCAGGGTGTTGGCCAGCACCAGACTGCCTGCCCCCAGGAATCATCTAGCCATGTCTGAAGACAATTTTGGTCACAGCTGCAAAGACAAGGAGGTGCTACAGCCACCTGGTAGATGGAGCTCGGAGATGCTGAGCATCCTCGGAGCACAGGCGGGCCTAGGCAGCGAAGGTCCTAGCTGTGGGAACACAGCTCAAAGAAGGCGCGATGAAATGCATGTGGATGTGGGCACAGGGTTCAATCCCCCGTATCACCAAAAGAGAACCGAGGCGGGGCTGGAGCGACAGTACAGCACCGTAGGGCGTTTGCCTTACATGCGGCCGAACTGGGCATCACATATGGTCTTCCCAGCACTGCCAGGAGTAATTCCTGAGTGCAGAGCCAGAAGTAATCCCTGAGCATCGCTGGTTGTGACCCAAAAAGAAAAGGAAAAAAGAGAGAAACTAGGGGCCATGGAAACAACAAAACAAAAGTATGAGAACATTCAAACTACAGCTACCAAATTTCCAAATGTGCTTGTCAAGGGGATCAGCTGCAGCGCAGAAGGAAAACTAGGGACACTGATGGGGGAAACTGAGAGTAGTGATGGGGCTGGCGCTGGAACACTGTATGCCTGAAACTCAATTATGAGGAACTGCAGTGAGAGTCTGTCAGGAGTAAAGAGTATCTCACGTCACTTCTGCATGAGCTGACTGCAGAAGAGCCATGCGGGCATCACAGGAAGTGTCCTTCTAGATGGTATAAGGTCATTGCAAGGGAACCCTTCTGACACCTGTTCCCTCGCCCTGACCACCAGAACCCGTGTCGTCAGGATGGCTGCTGAGAAACCAGCTATTTCTGGAAGACAGGTGGGCAGGGAACAAAGGGCCAGGAGGCCAGGGCTACTGGAGGGTCAGCAGCATGTCGTGTCCAGTAATGGGGGGCCCCTCCCAGTGATGACCCCCTGTTACAGGCCGGCCACCCCAGCTCACCCAGATGGTTTACACCAAACTGCATCTCGAAGCCGTCCTCTGTGCTCCAGTGTGGGCAGCACATCACGGCAGCATTGTTGACCAGAATGTCCACGTGCTCCTCCTCTGGAAGGGAGACAGGTCAGCCCAAGGCCACGGGGGCACCCTGGGTGGAGGAAGTCCCTGCCCATCCCCCCCAGCACCCACCTCCCAGCACTGAGTAGGATCCAAATGACACCAGAGGGGTCCTCAGCTTCGCAGAACTCAGCAGAGTCTACCAGCTCTGAGTGTAGCCCGGAAGTTACAAGCCCCAATGCGGGAGAGCTAGCGCCCAGAGACAGAGGCTGAGCCCGAGGCCACAGGTCTCATGCTGGCATCCCTGAAAGCATCCTCAATAGCTTTCCCCCAACACTTTATAGAAAACATGAGGGGCTGGAGTGATAGCACAGCGGGTAGGGCATTTGCCTTGTACACAGCCCAACCTGGGTTCAATTCCCAGCATCCAATATGGTCCCCCGAGCACAGCCAGGAGTAATTCCTGAGTGCATGAACCAGGAGTAACCCCTGTGCATCGCTAGGTGTGACCCAAAAAGCAAAAAAAAAAAAAAGAAAAAGAAAATACCCAGAACAATAGAAAAGTCTAGGATCGGTCAATGGCTGGAATAAATCTTAAATATCTGTAGGACCACGGGTAGGTGAGACAGAGGAGGAACCAGTATGACAATAACAGACAGAAGTGGTCATGCTGGACAAGAACTTAGCGTTAAAAGTAGGTAAATGACTGATATACCAAGAGTAACACACCACATTTGATGGGATGTAAGGTAGAAGACAACAATCTTGACTAAAAAAAAAAATACACACACACACATATATATGCACATAAGACTCAAACTCTAACAACATGTTAATGATCTCTAATACAGCGGCTTAATGGTTCCACGTGAGATATAACAATTTTTACATACTTTCCTCTAAGAAAACCTTTTTGGATCATTTTCAGTCAACTACAATACAACTACAACTAACAAACAATCACTTGATCACTTGATATCCCGTTACTCATCGATTTGCTCGAGCAGGTGCCAGTAATTGTTTCCATTCATCCCAATACAAAATAAATTATTTAGCATCTGCCTTTGGGGCAGGCTTTGGTGGTGGTGTGAAAACTCCAAATAATGGTGGTAGAACTGATGTTGAAATATTGAATGTAATCATTTACTGTGAACAACTCTTTGAAAATAAAAGTTTTTTTTAAAAAAGTAGGTAAAGGGATATACACAATAACCTTCAGTATCTGTACTGCAAACCATAATGCCTAAAAGAGAGACAAAGAAGTGCCTGCCATAGAGGCAGGCTGGGGTGGGGTGGGGGGTTATGGGAAAGAAACTGGGGACACTGGTGCTGGGAAACGCACACTGGTGGAGGGGTGGGTATTGGAACACTGTATGACTGTAACTTAATCATGAACAGCTTTGTAAGGGTCTATATCACTATCACTATCACTATCACTATCACTATCACTATCCTCCCGTTGTTCATCGATTTGCTTGAGCGGGCCCAGTAACATTGTGAGACTGTGTTTGGCATATCCAATACATCACGGGGAGCTTGCCAGGCCCTGCCATGTGGGCGAGATACTCTCGGTAGCTTGCCGGGCTCTCCGAGAGGGGCGGAGGAATTGAACTCGGGTTGGCCATGTTGGCTGCGTGCAAGGCAAATGCCCTACCCGCTGTGCTATCGCTCCAGCCCGGTCTATCTCACAGTGATTCAATTTAAAAAAAATTTTAAAAGAAAAGTACAGTCTCGAGGCCCGGGAGGAAGAAAGGGGTCAAGCTCTTCCTTGAACACATGGTTGACATGGTTCAATTACAGGCACTGTACAAGGTCCCCCCCGAGCCCTGCCAGGAGTGACCCCTGATAAATAAATAACTCATGAGCACTGCCAGTGTGGACCCAAAATGTGTATAAATAAATAATTTGAAAATGAGACTTAATTGAAAAGGAATCTCGGAGCTGGAGCAATAGTCCAGTGGGGAGGGTGTTTGCCTCGCACACGGCTGCCCCAGGTTTGATCTCCAGCATCCCATATGGTCCCCTGAGCACCACCAGGAGTAATTCCTGAGTGCAGAGCCAGGAGTAACCCCTGAGCATCACCAGGTGTGACCCAAAAAGCCAAAATAAAAGAAAGCAATCCACCCACGGGTGGAGGGACCTGGCCAGGCTCAGCCAGCCCCCAGCTTGGCCTCCTCTGCCCACCTTGGATGACCTTCGCAGCGAACTCGCGGATGGACCGAAGCGAAGCCAAGTCTAGGTAGCGAGCACTGACGCGGCGGTTGAGCGTCTCCCCGCGGATGAACTTGGCAGCGGCCTCACACTTCTCCATGTCCCGGCAGGCCAGGATGACTTTGGCGCCTGAAGGCCCAGGACAGAGAAATAAAAGGCTGACTGGAGGGGGGTCCATCCTGCCACTGCGTGGTCTCCAGAACAGCAGAGTGACCCCCTCAGGAAAGACAGAAAAAGAGCCAAGCCTGGGTCATCATATGTTCCATGTCCCCAAACATTTCTATCAATGGCCACCAAGCCTGCATACAGGGCTGTCACATGTAGCCTGGTGTGCGGGACTGTCCCCACCCAAACCTGTGTCATTCAGGCTAGAGAGATAGTTGGGGGCAGGCACTTGCCTTGGATACAGCCAAGACTACAACATTGCACAGGATCTCCTAAGCCCTGCCAGGAGTCAGCCCTGAGCACACAGCCAGGAGTCAGCTCTGAGTACTACCAGGTGTGGGACCCCCCCAAAAAATACATTTTTAAAACTCAGCTTGCTCTCTGAGCCACAATAGCGTGTGACATCCAAAATCCCATAAGCAACTGTTCGACCTAAGTCACCACACAAGCAACTACCGAGGCAGGCAGAAACCACTGAGCAATCAATCATTAATAAAAATGCCGAAAAGCAGCTGGAGCGACAGTACAGCGGGTAGAGCGCTTGCCTTGCACGTGGCAATGCCTGCCATCCCATATGGTACCCCGAGCATCAACAGCAGTAATTCCTGAGTGCAGAGCCAGGAGTAACCCCTGAGCATCACCTGGTGTGACCCCAAAACCAAAAAAAAAGAAGAAAAAGCAAGTTTTTATTTGCCGGGGGAAAAAAACAAGTTTCAAACAATGAGAAAAGTTATAGCAGGTGGCAAGGTGGAGGGGGTGGCGAGGAGCCACAGGACCCCCAATCTCAATGCCCAGTTTCCGCTCATGTGCTCGGGAAAAAAGTGGGCACCCTCCCCGGGATTCCCCATAGGTCCAGGTGGGACCACAGGATGGACAGGAAGCTCAAGCCTGTACCCACTGTTTGGGCCACCAAAGGCCCCAGCCCTCAGCCACACCTGTCGCTCCTCCCTGCCCCCAGGCCCAGGTCCCCGAAGTCAGGCCTCACCTCTCCTGGCCAGCTCCAGGGCCGTCTGCTTGCCAATGCCCGTGTTGGCGCCCGTGACAATGACAGTCTTGCCAGGAATAGTGGCCTTGCTGGGGCACGCCCCACCTGCCACATAGTCCCTGGGGAGAGAGCAGGGCACGTGGGTCCATCTGTCTGTCCACAGAAACCTCCCTCTGGGATGACAGGGGATGATCCTGTGGGGCACCCCCCCCCCAGACACACACACACAGACACACACACACCACACCCCACACACACACACACACACACACACACACAGACAAAAACAACATCCAGAGGCCACAGTCCTGTGCAGGTGAGGAGCTGGCCTCCCAACAAACCACATTCCAGACACTGGGTAGCATGCTGTGAGCTGCAGGGGGCTATTCCTGAATAAGACCAAGTCATGGGGGCCCTAGGGAGCTCAACGAGCTGTGCACAGGCTTTGCAAAAGCTCTAGAGTCTATCCGCAGAGCACCATGGGGTGTGCCCCACAAAAAAAATACAACTACTGTTTTGTCCCACAGGATATTCAATCTATTTTTTTCTTTTTGGGTCACACCCAGTGATGTTCAGGGGTTATTGCCCTGGCTCTGCATTCAGGAATCATTCTTGCCAGTGCTCGGGGGACCATATGGGGGTGCTGGGAATCAAACCCGTAGCCCTCCCCACTGTACTATCATCAGACCCCCATTCAATCATCTGTGATTCTCCCTACTTTCTTCTGACTCTGGGGCACAGAGCCTTTCATTTCTAGCTTTTTCGGAACTGACAAACAAAAGGAACAAAAATGGAAACAGTAAAAATAACAGAAATGGAAACAGTAAAAATAACAGTCTGGATACATTTTGTGACCAGGAAAAATTGTTTCCCTTGGTTAGAAAAGTTAATGTTTACAGAGCAGTAATGTAATGAATCAGAAATAACAAGACAACCAGCTAAGATTCTACCAGATGAGGTGGGACAAACCCCTAAGGCAGCCTCAACAGAGAGCAGATAAATCAACCCAGAGGTAATTATTCCCAAAAAAGATAAGTTTGGGGTCAAAGAGATGAGATAGTACAGGGGCTAAGGCTATGGCCTTGCACACAGCTAACCTGGGTTTATTCCCAAAGGATAACCTAAGCACCACCAGGAGTGAACCCTGAGCCTGAGCCTGAGCCAGGAGTCAGCCCTGAGCACGCAGGATGTGGCCATAAAACAAAAATAAACGATTTCAGTAGTTGATTATTTTCTGGTTGGTCAGTCTGTTTTGTCACAGGAAGAATGTATGAACTGCTCACCTGTCCCTTGGCTGGCTGGCGGCAGGGGGTGGGGGGTTTACACTGAGCTCTGCTCTCTAACAAGGTTTCAGGGGCAGTACAGTGGTCACCCTTCCCTTCTCCCCTTCACACCCCGACTCCAGGATCCTGGGCTGAGCTGCACAGAACCCTTGCAAGCCTCTTCCAAATAAAACAGGGTGGCAGGAATGATAGTACAGCGGGTAGGATGTTTTCCTTGCATGCAGCAACCCCAGGTTAGAGGCTCAGCATCACTTTGGTCCCCTGGTAATTCCTGAGCCCAGAGTCAGGAGTAAGTTTACCCCTGAGCAAAGCCAAGTGTAGCTCAAAAAAATTTTTTAAAAAAGGGGGGAAGGGGGGCTATTCTGTATATTTAGTGTGATCCCAAATTCCTCATGAGAGTGAATGGCGAGAAACAATGATTGTGCCATTCAATTTTTGCGTTTACTAAGACGGGCAATTGTAGTTGATTTTTTAATTTGGGATGATGAGAGTTTCCCGGTGTAGGTGTTCTTGCACGATAAATATTTGCTGATGAATTTAGTTGATAAGTTGGAATCTACTAAATTTCCGGATGCCATTGCAGCAAAATGTTTCCCAGGGCCAGGCTCCGCGCCTTCCCCTGGGTGACCTTGGGTCGTGTCCTGCCCTGTGGGAACCAACCTTGGGCCCCCAGCCCGCGTCCTCTGGGAGCTCGCCGGTGGCGTGAGCAGAGGGACCCTGGGTCAGCTGGGCCTGGGTCACCAGTACGCCGCCGGCCCTCCCCTGAGCTCGCCGCGGGGCCGGCACATACTCACTTGAGTAAAACTGCACCACCCACCGCGGAGCCCAGCACGGACAGCGGCACAAGATAGCGGTTCATGCCGAACTCGAATTGGACTCGCCACCCCGGGTCGCTCGCTCCAAGTAGCGCAATGCTCGCGGCCACGCACGTGGGAAAGGCGCTGCGGCCTCCGGGCCACGAGCTTCCGGGAAAGGCGGGCCCTGTTGGAGGATTGCAAGGCAGAGCCAATGGGCAAGGGCTTTGAGCGCTGGTGCCACTGGGAACTGGGGGCGGGATGGAGACCGGGCCATGCTATTGGAGCGGGTGGGAGGGGGAGTTGGGCGTGGTCGTGGTCTGGAATGAGGATTGGGCGGGAGTGGACTGGGCGGGGCCGTGGCTTGGGCAAAGGCGGGGTGGGGCCCTGTCTGAAAGCGGGGATTAGACGGTGCTGGCCTGGGACGAACTGGGGGCGGTCCGGACTCCGCGAACCGCGCGACACCCTCTCCGGGCTGTAAGGCGCCCGTTTGGCTGTGCAGTAACCGTGCTTGGGTACTGTGGCTGCATCTCGCTTTCATATACACCGGTCTATCTCCCCATCTCAAACAGGGGATCGCTGTTGTACCTTTCTAATGAGAAACTGAAGATTTTCAGTGCTCAAAAGGGAATGCCTGCCACAGAGGCGGGGTGGAATGGAGGGGGTGGGGTGGGGGCTGGGAGGGATACTGGGATCATTGGTGGTGGAGAATGGGCACTTGTGGAGGGATGGGTACTCGATCATTGTATAGCTGAAACCCAAGCACAAAAACTTGTAAGTCTACAACTGTACCTCATGGTGTTTCACTAATAAAAATTTTAAAAAAGAATTTTAGAGCTCAGAATCCAGGTTCTCCTAACCTGAACGAGGGAGTCGGGACGGTAGGAAAAGAGGGACTTTCAGGACCCTGAATCTAGAGGAGGAAGTACAACATGCTGGGTGCTGGCGCAGAGCTGCCTAAGGTGGCTCCGTGCTTGTTTGCAGCAATCGGACACAACAGTCAACTCCATCTATTGCTGCTGCTAACACCTGCTCCTCTGCTCCTTCATTCTCCTGTGCCACGGCAGAAACTGGGACCCCTTTGCTCTGAGAGCTCCCTAGTCTCTCTTGGCACTCTCTGTGCTGATTCCTTAGTGTCCCCCTCTGCTCAACTCATCCTATCTCCCCACCCTACCATAATGCATCGGGGTTCCCTTAGACAATCTCAATCACTGCTGCCATACTAATCCCCATTCCAACGCTGACAGTTGAGGACTCCATGAGTAGGGACCTGGGTCAAAGAGAAGAATCCCACTTCATTCCTCCTTCTCCTCTTTCAGATGGCATGGTTGGGCCTTACCCTTCATGCTGTACACTGCCCCACTGGAGGCGAGCCTAAAACTATGCATGTCCCACTCCCAGTGGTATGCTTTGGACTTTTTTGGCTATTTAAAAAATAAATTTTTAAAAAAGTAAAAGCAGGGGGCAGAGAAATAAGGCACTTACCTTGGACATAGCTGACCCCAGTTCAACCCTTAACACCACATATGTTCCCCTGGGGCACCTGAGCACAGAGCTAGAAATAGCCCCTGAGCATCGTCAAGTATGGCCCCAAACCCTCCAAATTCAGAGACTCACCAAACCTCCTCCTACGATATTCATGGTGAGAAAAAAATATATATTTGTGTACTGGGTCAGGGAGATGGCTCAAAGGCTAATGTGAGGCTTTACAAGAAGGAGGCCCAAGTTCAAGATTAGCACCACATGGCTCCACAGCACCAAGCCCAAAGCAGCCCCTGAGCACTGCTGGGTATGACCTCAAACCAAAGATGTGTATTTGTGCACAGGGCTTGGTCCAGTGAGTTTCAGGACTGGTTCTTCCTGAATCAGAGGACAGGAGGGAGACTTCATTTCCTCCAGATTGGATTAAGGGGCCCCGATGACTCATCAGTGTGACCTCACATGAATCAATGTCATGTCTGCAACCCCATCTCCAAATAAAGTCACCTTCTGGGGTCAGAGCAATAGGACAGCAGGGAGAGCACTCGTCTTGCATGTGGTCAACCTGGGTTCGATCCCCAGCGTCCTATATCCTATATGGTCCTTTAAGCACTGCCAGGAGTGATCCCTGAGCTCAGAGCCAGGAGTATGTCCCAAGCACTGCTGTATTTGACCCAAAAAACAAAAATAAATAAATAAAGTCACCTGAAGGGTTAGGGGATCAAGACTTCAATGTAAGTTAATGAGGAGGCAGCAGGAGAAAGAATTATTCCACCTGTACTAGGGTAGAAACACTCCCAAAATCCACCAACAGCAGATGGACATGTTAACTAAGGATCAACAATTCCCACCGTGCTCCTTGACTCAGCAATGAAAGGAATGTGCTCCCAGGAGCAGCTGTGGACTCAGCAGCCCTTACTTGAAGAGATTCAGGGTTTATGGCATTTGACTCACCTGTGCCAGCCCCAGATCAATCCCCCATGTTGCATGTGGTCACCTGAATAGATACATAGTACAACAGGGAGGGCACTTGCCTTGCACATGATTAACCCATGTTCAATTCCCAGCACCACGTGAGCACTGTCAGGTGAGACCTCTGAGCACACAGCCAGGAGTAAGGAAGGCCTGAGCACCTCCAGATGTGGCCCAAACTCCCCACCCCCCAAAAAAAAGTTACTCAGAGAAAAGCCAGATGGGCTGTTGGATTCTTTATAGGCCAGTGTGGGGATGGCAAAGTTGTCATAAGGAAATGAAAACCTGTGTGTTTTTCAGGAAAGGTTCCAGGATACTACAAGGGGATGGAAACAGTCTCAATTTTAGTCATGTGGGCTATTTTATACAGGACATCATGCAGCTGTCAAAACTCAGCTGTACCTTCACTTAACAAGAGTGAGTTTTCCTGCAAATATATACTGCGATGAGGTGAGCGATCAAAACAAACACTGAGCAAATTTTTATCCTTTCTTTGGAAATTATTTGGCCACAAGTAACTCTTGATTTATGATTGTATCACATCTGTCAGCAGGCAGACAAAATTCCTATGAAGTGACATAAATCGTTTCCAAATGTCCCACAAGGCTTTTGGCATCTCTGATTTGACAATCAAGTTGATGCAATGCTTTGTTTCATAGACATGGGATGAAATGTGTTTCCTTTGCGTTTGCAACTGAGAGTATTTTCCTTCTTGGAAAGGTGTGTCCTGTCTCTGTGTGTTCCAGATACCCACCTGCACGGTGCAGGGCACCAGCAGGAGCTCAACATCCAGGGTCCAGGCTGTATGGCCAGGACTCAGCCTTAGTGGGAGGGAAGATCTCCCTGAATTGGAGCCACAGCGACACAGGGTTGTGAAGGATGAACAGGAGTTCAGTTCTCCTGTTCTCCTATTCTCCAATGGAGCAGAACCACTGGACAGGTTACCAGCCAATGGGGGGCCAGGAGTAAAGAAGCAAGTGGGAAGTGACAGTGGTTCAGCTCTGTAGAAGGCCAACTTGAAGAAGGCAACAGGCAAGCGATACAGATGAAGAGGAAGTAAGGGTTGGAGGCAGTCAAAAGGCGCTGGCCTTGATGGAGCAGCAGCAGCATGACCCTGATTCAAATCTTGGCACCACGTATGTCCCAGAGCACCATCAGGGGTCACTTCTTCTGAGCACAGAGATGGGAATAGACTCTGAGCACCCTGGGTGTGTAAGGAGGAGGAGGGAAAGGAGAGGAAGAATGAAGAATAAGCACCAGTCTGTTTATGAAGGACTTAGCACCTGCCAGGAATTTAAGGAGAGGACTGGTGAAGGAGTCCCTCCTCGCTGAGATTATGGGGACGTAGGGCGTCTGGGTCATGGAGGTGCAAAGTCTGGGAAAGGGAAGAGGCTGCAGACATTACTGTAAAGAATCCAAACATGAATCTGACACATTTTTGATGGGGTGGGTTGTGCCACATCCAATGGCCCAGGGCTTACTCCTGGCTCTACACTCAGGGATCACTCCTGGTGGGCTCGGGATGCCAAGGTTTAAGCCTGGGACAGTCTGCTAACAAGCAAAGCAAGCAGTGCTTGTTATTAGCACTGCTGTCCTATTGTTCAGGCACCACTCAGCCTCCTCTTGAGACCAGATAGATAGTACAATGGGGAGAGCACTTGCCTTGCACATGGCTAACCTATGTTCAGTCTCCAAGTACCTCATGAGCACTGTCATGTGTGACCCCTAAGCACAGTGCCAGGAGTAAGCCCTGAGCACCACTGGGTATGGCCCAAAAACAGAGGTCTGACTTCTCTAAACATCAAAATAACAGTGGGACCCTCAATATGTAAAGAGCACTCAAAATCAGTAAGAAAGGACCTGAGAGAGAGAGAGAGAGAGAGAGAGAGAGAGAGAGAGAGAGAGAGAGAACAGCAAGTGAGGTGCTTCACTTGCACGTAGCTAACCCGGTTTGACCCAAATGTCGCTTATGGTCACTTGAGCCCCACTAAGACTGACCCCTGAGCACAGAGTCAGAAGGAAGCCCTGAGTACTGGAAGGTGTAACCCAAAAGGCAAAAAAAAAACCAAAAAAGAGCCCAAAACTGAAGAGCTTTTCCCATTCCCAGCCACAAGTGAGACATGAGCCAAGGGCAGAAGGGGGCCTTTCGCAACGAAAAATATCAACCAACACGTGACGATTCCTGGATTAATTAAAATAATGACAAGTGCTCATCATGCTCCATAATGACAAGACAGTTCTTCCCCTATCAGATCGACAGGGTGGTGACAGGGGTAACACCCAGAGTTGTGAAGGTTGTGGTGAAACAGGAGCTCAGAGCAACAAAGTAAAGACGGGCCTGTGAGGTGGACCAGGCTCCTTAGCCCTCCCATCCGTATGTACTTCTCTGGCCAATGTGCCCCAGAGAGGACACATATGGAGAACAAATGGCCACTGGAAAACTTCATGTGCAGGAAACTGTTCTCTCTACCTGCATCTGTGACCCACAGCAAGATGCCAAGGATAGGACCAGAGCCATAGACAAGTGAGGAGGACATTTGCCTTGCACGCAACCAACCCAGGTTTGATTCTCAGTATTCCATACGGTCCCCTGAGTGTTGCCTGGAATAATTCTTGAATGTCAAGCCAGGAGTAACCCCTGAGCATCTCCAGGTGTGGCGAGAGAGAGAGAGAGAGAGAGAGAGAGAGAGAGAGAGAGAGAG